GTGTGTGTGTGTGTGTGTGTGTGTGTGTGTGTGTGTGTGTGTGTGTGTGTGTGTATGTGTTTGTGTTTGTGGTGGGGGCTCTGCCATGAGGAAGCTCGGCTTAAAGACACGTCACTGCAGGATTTCTCAAACATGCATGAATGAGTCAGAGCAAGGCTTTGGGCATGTTTTTTTATGAGAGTATAACATTATAACATGATATAAAACTCAAAAAAGTTGATTTTACATTGTATTGTCCCTTTAAGTGCATTTATTTATTTATATTTTATTATTTTTGTATTTTTTAGTTATTTATTTTATTTTTAATGAAATGAAATTAATATATGAATAAACTTATTTGGTCCATTGAAATATTTCTGCTTTTATTTCTAATTACGTCAGTTTCGGTCCTCCACAGACCTGGTTCCAGAAGTTTGATGGTTCAGACGCAACATTTCAAACAGGTCATCCTGCCAGGTTCTTTTGGTGAGGATTCCTCTTGCAACCACTGCAAATAAGCCATGTTGCTCAGTCTTTTCCTAATTTTCCTGCCGTGACCTTTAACCTTTAAAGTGCAGAGGCCTGCAGAGCCTGATATATGGAGGTCTTGGTTTTTTTTATTTTGGGGTTTTCTCTGAGCATTGCACAGTCTGATCTTGGGGTAAATTTGCTAGGACAGCTATCTCAAATGTTTTCCATTTGAAAATATTTTTTGTCACTGTAGAATGATCAACTTGCTCTAAAATTGGCTTTAACACCTTCCCAGATTGATGTTATTGCAGATGACCACCTTGGCGCTGTGTTAACACACACCTGAATCATCAGAACTCCTGCTTTATTCAGATGTTTTTATTGATGATGAATCAGTACATTTGGTCAGCAGCACCTGGCTGCTGCATCATGTGGAAGCAGAAAGGATGGACTTACTTTTTATTCAGAGCTTTTTCATTTGTAAGATAATGACATAATGGGATCTGTTGTCTGCTTTTACAGACTTGAGGTCAGAATTTAGTACTTTTAGATCCTGGTCCGATCTGAACTGATCATTTTGTTATGTCTTGATGTGTTTAAAAACCTAGAATTATAAAAAGACAAATATTTCTCATGCTTTTAGCTAAATGAAGGTAGTTTTTTTTCCTTTGATGTTGAAAAACAGAATTTTATTTTAAAAAATGTGTGAAACTCAAGATTTTTTAATAAACACAACAACAAATGATCTAGGATATCTTCTTAATGTTTATGTATCAAATTTATGGAATTGTTTTCCATACATAGTATATGTGTAAAAATGAACCATTTTATTAAATAATCTACAACAAAATCCACCAAACCTCACAGATTAACAGCTACTGACCATCAAAAGTTAATGATGTTGATGAGCTGATGCTGTGCTGACAATGACCCACTGCCCCTGCAACGTTTTTACAAGTTTATTTATTAGTTTATCATATTAAATTCATGTGGTTGAGCTGATTTTAACAGAATCCTGTGGTCCAAAGGCCCATCTGAGGCCCAGTGATGGCCCCACAGCTCAGATTGTCGTTTTGTCTTCAGGCAGAATATATTTCATAAACCCCATCAGAATGTGTCTTTTTTATGTTCACTTGTTAAAAACAGCAGATAGGTCTGTCCACAGTCTTACTGATGCAGAAAAGGTTGGGTTCACCTTTTCAAATTCCCTCCCACCCCACATTAAACCCCTGACATGTTTGTCATCGAGCTCCACCAAACAGCCACCAGGATGTGCTAACTCTTCATGGAATATTTGTCTTTCATCTTTTTTTTGGCAAATAAACAGAAAATATYCACGTTTCTGCACTTTCTGAGCAAGAAGACAGTTTTATTAAGCTTCCATACAGCAAAAAAAACAAAACAAAACAAATCGCTACCTACTCTCCTCTATCCAAGCCCGGACCAGTTTATTCTTTACGTCCAGGCTTCGTAAACCTCCGGTCCATACTTGGTGTTCACTGCTAAATTTGAATCAAAGTTTTGCAAAGACCCACGGCTTTCCCACGCCCAAATTCTGATTGACAGTAGGCCTATCTAAAGTGTTGGACAATGGAAGCTGCACATCTGCTAGAACCAGAGAAAGGTTTCTGGGTAAACCCAGTTTTTTAAGTTTTTTTTTTTTCGGTACGACATCCTGAAGGTGTCTTTAAACAGAAATTGGGAGTTGCAAAACTGGAAATGTCATTAAAACAATTAAAAAGGTAAAGGTAGCACAACCTTGTTGCGCAAGACCTGTTAACCCATGTTTTGTTGTGTTTTTCTTGAACGGTTGATCTTAACTGCATTTGGTTCTTCATTGCATCTCTGTTGTTTGAATGACAATAAAGCGAATCTGAATCTAAAACTTTACATCTCTAACCTGAGCAACCCATCTACAGCAGGTAAGATAATAACGAATAATATAAGCTTTTCAAATCTACATGTTAGAAACCAGATGAACACGGTGATGCAGATCACACTGTTAATCTTTATTAAGAGTTCATGCAGAAGTCAAACAACACAAAGAGAAACAAAAGATGAGGCAACGCAGGAGAGTCAGCAGCCACAGCTTCCCTTCTCAGTTTTTCTGTTGATAAACCCTACAAACACAAAATCTATTGKTTTTTTTTTTCTTTTCCTGCAAAACTGGTTCTGAGATGACAAACACACTGATGCATTTTGAAAACACACACGTAGAAACTTCATTTTCCATCTGAGATAAGACGATTCTGCTTTAACACCAACACAAAGAAACAAATTTCAGGGGAAAAAAAAAAGACATTTTCATAATTCAAAATGTGCAATATGATAAATTCATCAAGTGGGGATCTTGTGTAAGTTTTTAATGTCTGATCACACTATTGCACTGGTCGGTCTAAGAACTTCAAAAACAAAAAGAAATAACATTTACTGAAATCTGTATTCTCTGAGAGATAAATAAAAGTGATCATCCAGTGATGAACTGCTTTTAGAAGCCATATTTGCTTTTGCACAGGACAAATACACACATAAATTTGACATTAAAAAAAATCCTTAACACCATAAACTACATCCTTAAACTACATGCATACTGACAACTTCTCATTCAGAAAAAAAAAGGCTGTTAAAATACTGATCAGAACAACAAAACAGTGCTGAATAAATTATTTCTACATTTCTTTTAGCGCTCTGGTGTTAGCGGATGTGCAGAACATGTCTGAAGGTAAAAAGCAGCTTGTTTGAAGCTTGTTGTGCTCGTGTAACATGTTGCATTTACCAAGATTAAAAATGTCTCATTTGTCGCACCGCGTCTGAGTTGAGCTCATTTCAGGGAAACAAATGTCATTCAGAAAGGTCAGGCCTTTTATGATGTCAGTAAAAAAAAAAAAAAAAATGATGTAGAAACGTGCAAACTGTTCTTGTAGTGTCACACTAAACTCTCATTCAAACCCAAACGTAAGAGCCGTGRATTCTGAAATTAAGAACAATCATTTTGACGATCGAATTTTAAAGACAAAAAAAAAAAAAAAAAAAAAAAAAAAAAAAAAAAAAAACAGATTTGGTCCTTGAAGCACAATTGTAGGACAAAACATACAGCACAGTCGACTTCAGCTCCTAATAAAAACCTCCTGCGAGCTCATTCATTTTATATCGTTAAATTGAGCATCTGCGTTCAGCATAAAGATATGAATGGTAATGTCTCGACAGCTGATGGATTCTAACCAACGATAGCAGCTTCAGTTGAATAAAACTCAGCAAAATAATCTCAATAAATCTTGTGTCAAGCATCTGAGATTCCACAAAAAGCAGATTTGTTTTTTTTTTTTTTTACATTTGTCGGTGAAGTGTGTGAGAAAATAAATCCCTTTGTTTGCAGGTATTCTTGTGGATCCATCCCCCCATTTTCTCTGACCCCGGTGAGGTAACGTCTTTACAGCAAACATAAACTCTTTCCAAAGAAATCTACATTAAATTACTTCATTTCCCCCCAGTCATATACGCAGCTTAAATGTACACCAAACTAATAAACTGACATTTGCCATTTACAGATTTACAAATCCACTTGGACAAGTTTGCAAAGAGACTGAGACAAATACCAAAACAAGAGCCACGTCTGGTAATTATGAGCAGAATATTCAGGGAAAACTAGAAATACTGTTGAGCCTGGTGGTGATTTAAGGAATTCTACAGGTTGGTAAGTTCCTATTYATGACAAAAAGTCCTCTTTTTTTAATAAAACTAATTATTTTCTTGAGGATTAGCTGCAACATGAAGCTCTGCAGTCCACGACAGGCTGAAGRGGAAATCTTTTCCCTCAGAAAGCAGAACTCACTGGTGAGGTGAGAGCTGGCGTTATTAAAAAAAAAAAAAGCGTGTTTGAAAAAAATTGAATGTAGTGTCGGGATGAGGTGGAACACAGGTGAGTCTGGCCTCGGCTGGTCGGGTCTAAGGCTGGGGAYGAGAGGTCGGAGGTCAGTGGGGGTCTACATGGCAAACAGAGCATCCTCTGGTCTTTCCGGCTTCTTCCTGCTGGGGGTTCCCTGTGCCGGCGCTGCGCCCGGGTTGCCACTCGGGGGCGATGGTAGGCTGGGAGTTGTCTCGGCAGCTTTGGCTCGCTCTTCCAGGAACTTATCAAACTCTGGGTTCATCAGAGAGGAGGAAAAAATCAAATGCTCAACTTTACTTTATTACGTTGGAGGTAAAGTGTTGAATTAATAATGACGACAAAAAACCATTACGAGGAGTGGATTTATCTTACCTTCACTGGTGACACCTTCCTCACCTTCATCCCCTTTCTACAAAAAATTAATTAAAAAAATTACTTTAAATGAGCTAGTTTTTCCAAACCACCAGAAACTAGATTCTAATATGTTAAAAGGACCGAAACATACCAAATTAGACAGACCCAAAGCGTTTAAAAGAAAAACTAGTCGATCATCTGGTGTGCCTCAGGGCTCTAACCTTGGACCTGTGCAGTTCTCACTGTATATGTTGCCACCGAGTTTGGTCCTGGCCAAAAATCATCTTCAGTTTCCTTTTTATTCAGATGATTTACAAATTAATTTTCACAGATTGTCCCCAACAACATAAATCCACTGGACTCTATTTTGAATGGTCTTAAGGATACTAGAAAGTGGCTTTGACAAAATTTTCTGCATCTGAATGAAAACAAAACAGAATATATTTTGTTTGGGGCTAAAATATAGMAAAATTTTGTTTAAGAATTTGGCACTTTGGCTTTTTACGGTATACCCGTGGTGAAGAATTTAGGTGGGATGTTCAACGATTGTCTAGATCAGGGGTGGGCAATCCTGGTCCTCGAGGGCCACAGCCCTGCATGTTTTATTTTTGTCTCTGCTCAAACACACCTGTTTTGAATGAATGCATGATTATCAGGCTTCTCCAGTACYGAGGACCGAAACTGACATAATTAAAAATAAAAGCGGAAATATATAAATTGACTAATAAATAAATAAATACTTAAAGTGCACCAATATTGTATAATTCAAAAAGGAGAATTTTATTTAAAGTATATATATA